CACCACACACCCTCACTGCTGTGGTACCTCCTACACCACACACACACTCTCTCACTCTGTGCACACCCCCACTACTCCTGTATCGCTCTCTCACCCTCACTGCAGTGGTACCTCTCTCATCACACACACGCACACTCTCTCACCACACATCACACTCACTGCTCCTGTGCCCATCTCACCACATCTCACTGCAGACACCCTCACTCTCCCTCTCTCCCTGTCTCCCTGCCAGCTCACCTCTGGGTGAAGAATTGCCGTGAACTCTTACCCTCCTCTTCCCGCCCCTCTCGCTTCGATCAGCCAATCCAGGCCTCGCAGTGGCTTCGCAACTTCCGGGTCACCAACGAGCGCTTCCTGTCGCAGGTATAGCATCTATATTTCAGAATAATTCCTTACAAGTACACGGCACATGTCTGGACACTCCACTCAAAGCGCTTTACGGGTCGCGGGGACCCCCCTCCACCAGGGTGCAGCCCCACCTGGACGATCCGATGGCAGCCATGGTGCACCAGTACACTCCCAACACACCAGCTCTCAGTGGGGAGGAGAGCAGTGATGAAGCCAGTTCAGAGAGGGGGGTTATTAGGAGGCCATGATGGGTAAAGGCCAGGGGGAACACCCCTACTCTTTTCGAGAAACGCCCTGGGATTTTTAATAACCACAGACAGGACCTCGGTTTTATGCCACATCTGAAGGTTGGCACCATTTTTTACAGTATAGTGTCCCCGTCACTATAATGGGGTATTAGGACCCACACAAAGCGCCCCCTACTAGGCCCACTAACAGCTCTTCCAGCAGCAGCCTTAGCTTTCCCAGGAGGTCTCCCACCCAGGTACTGGCCAGGCTCACACTGCTGCTGTGAGCTGCTGGCTGCTGGTGTAGGACAGGACAGGCAGGGCTGTGGTTCCCACCTGTCACACCCCCCCTCTTCCCTTCTGGGCAGATCAAGACGACTCGGCAGTACGTGTGGAGTAAGAGGGAGAGCACCGACGCCGGCCGGCCACTAGGGGAGCTGGTGGACCAGGTGAGGCTGGGGTACCCCGTGGGGCAGCTGGGGGGGGACAGCGTGCGCGACGAGCCAAGCGAGCAAGCTCTCTCTCTCTCTCTCTCTCTCTCTCTCTCTCTCTCTCTCTCTCTCCCCGCACCGCAGGGCCTGACTCGCGTCAAGAGCAGCAGCGACGTGGCCTCTGCCCTGATGAGGGAGCTGCGCGGCCAGTGTGGGGGCGGGGCGTTCCGGCTGGCGGTGGCGGTGGACGGGGTCAACGCGCTCTGGGGCCGCACCGCGCTGCGCAAGGAGGACAAGAGCCCGGTACGGCCCTCCC